GCCAGCCGCAGCAAGTGCCGCCTTCCCCGTCACTTTACTCGACAGCGGCCTCCTCTTCGTTTCCTGAACCAACAATCCATCTTAAAAACCGATTCAACAAATCCATTTCCGTTTTTTTTTTTTTGTAAATTACCTGAACGAATTGAACGCCGAAGTTAGATCTGACTTCATAAAAATCGTCATTTCCCACCCCCTTCAGATTTGGCCCACACACGCAGTAACTCCTTTCAGGCCTTGAGTAATCCCACCGCCGTATCTTCAAGTCGGTACCACCGGTTAACAAGTCCCCTCCCGGTAACGGAAGCAACGCCCTAATCCCTGGTAGCCGTGGTGGCGGCTCCTTTAACTCTTCTATCCTGTATTTTGAGCTCGCATTCTGCCCCCGAGTATACCCCTTTTGGTTTACCTTTGTCGTTGTCTTCCACTGCAACTCCGATTTCTCCGCATCGTTCTCGTAGTTTGCTATCCTCAGCACCTGGGTTTTTATCAGAATCCAACAACAAAAAAGGGTATAAGCTATACACGAGGATACATCATCTCATAGATAAAATCCTGATCCTGTAATACAAAAACCTTTCGTCTACTACTGCTATGTATTCTCATATCATGATAACATAGCTAGATCTTATGGCAAGAAGAGCCCATTTATCATTTACTATATAGCTGTATATATATATAAACTAGAGCCCCTGGTATGGTATAAGGCATATGATGACATATACCTGGTGACAACCCCCACCCTCGGCATTCCAGAGCGAAACCTCATTGCAACCGGCAGCCACATAAATAAAAGGCCTCACGGTGGTGGAGACCGATACACTCGAAGGAAGAAAGCAAAGGCACATATTCTCTACGGGGCATATGATAGGGTACTGCCACGAATTTACAGGAACTAGAAATCTCAAATCCCATAGTGTAAGCACCCCCCTCGAGGACCCGGACACAAACCAATTCCCGCAAGGGCTCGTCACCAGCGATGACACATACCCTTCTTCGGGTTTTCCCTTCAATGTCCATGCATCTGAATCTGATCTTGTATCCCAAAGATGGATTCCACAGTTCTGGGTACTGTAGATTACCATCGGCCCCGCACAGCTATCGGCGGTATAATTCAACAGGGAAAGTATAGCACCTTCTTTCATGTCCTTCTTTTTAATGTCAACTATGCCTGAATATTTCTCCACTACGTTTCCCAAGCCTCTAGAGATATGGTCGATGGAGAACATATGTATCATCCCATCAGAGGCTCCCACAACAACTTGCGTGGAATTTCGGAGCATTGCCGTGCACAGCCCTCTGCTTCCCTCGAGATGATAAGTTAGCCTTGATCTAAAAGATATATCCTTTTCCAGTTTTCTCGAATCCCACACCTTCACCGTGGAATCATCCGATGCGCTGACGAAAAATCCATGGTCGCTTGAGGTTGCAATGTCGTTGACAGCAGAGCTGTGCTCCTGGAGATGAGCAACTAATACTCCACGCGGCTTCCAGCCTGAATCAGGAATTGATGATGTCTTCGAGAAAGATGAAGCTCCTGCAAGATCGGTAGAAGAAGAAGAACCATCGTCTGAAGTTACAGATCCACTCCTTGTGGAGCTCGATAATCCGAGATCTTGAAATTTATTATTGGTCGAGGTGGTTTGATCACTTTCTCTGCTTTCAGGCTCGTGCACCACTCTGTAGAATTGTTTAGCAGTGTTGCCTATATTGAATGACCCAGATACCAACTTAGGGACTGGAACAGAGCTAGCCAAGTGAAATGATTTACTCATTGAGTCCATCCACGGCATGGACAATGAACCCATTCCTAGAGAGTTCATTTGCAACGAAGACTCAGAAGCCACAGGAGGATTCGTCACTGCCCGCTTGTCCATGCTAAAGGAATAAAGAGGTATACCTTCTGGTGATTTATCAATAAAACTATTCAAACCGGACACCTGTGGTGATGTAAATCCAGAGAACTGTAACTTTTCTGGGTACAATGGATCACGAAGGTCATTTGTGCTAGAAGCATTGAGTCTCAGGCTTCCTGAGATTCTCAATTTATCATCACTTTCTGCGCATTTATCTTGGCCGTCTTTTTCCTTTGATGCATTGCCAGCCAATTTTTGTTCTTCCATGTTGTGCTTCTGCTCAGACCAGAAACCTATAGAGTCCAATTCCCCAGTATCTTTGTTAAATAAATCAATCGTCTCCCAATTTTTGGACTGTGGTGAAGAACTGTACCATATCTTTCGCTGTCTCTCCAACATGTCTGAACTCCTCGCGCTTTCAAGGACACGATACACCACCTCTCTAGACACTGGTGGTTTCAAACATGAAACCAGAGCTTCCTCAGAAGCAAGTGAAGCAGGCAGTCTTCGGAGAAAAGGGCGTATTACCGGGGCAAGGAAAACGTACGAGTCAACTGGACCCAGGCATTCACTGCTTGCCGAGATGAAAGTGACAGCAGCCCTCCTTACCCATTGACATGGATAGCATAGCAAAGGAAAAACACACTCTATCATTTGAAGGAGAGCCCGCTTCCGCAAGAAACTACTCTTGCATAAGGTAGACAAGCAATCCAAAGCATTTACAATGACAGCCTCTGTCTGATCACTTAAAGCTTGCTCAATGTAAGGCAAAAGATACTCCTCCACACTTCTCTGACCCACAAAGAAGCAAACATATACAATTTTCTCAAAAAATACAGATCTTAGCTGTTCATCTCTGTCATTTAAAAAGGCCGGAAGGATAGGGAGTAGAAAGTCGTTACTCTGTCTTTGACCAAAGAAGAAGCAAAGCTCTCCAATGTCCTCAAGGAGTGCTCTTCTCACATTAGGAGTTTGTTTTGGCCCCATAACGAGCTCTTGAACAACTTCAGCAATAGTTTTCCTCAGTTGCACGAGCTGTACATCACCATTTACCTTTTGCAACTGATCAGCTGTCTCATTAGACGATGCGGTGGAGTTTATCTGTGGAGAATGCATCAGGAATCCATATGCAGTAAGAGCAAGTTTTGCGATATTGCTTGCATAACAAATCCTCACACTCTCCTCTGGATCATCGGGAAGCATAGAGAGCATTGGGAAAATATACTCTGGAAAAATTTTCGCGTCGCTGGGAGGGAAATCTCGGACAAGCGGTAATATGTCGCACAAAGTTTCCAAGGCAGCACAGCGCACGATTGCCGTCGGATCAGAAAGTAGGGCAACAACGAATGGAAGAACACGCTGTAAGCGATCTTCATCATCAATATACAAGGAGCAAGACTTCAGTAGAAGTATAGCTCCCCTCCTCAAATGAGGCAACCTGATATTGCGAATACAGGAACACAGCATAGATGCAATCAGAACCATTCCTTCACATCTCATACTGACCTCTGGTAAGGGTAGAAAAGGTGTACCAAAAGTGTCTGACTGGCTATCATAGACATCCATCAGTGTACGCAAATCATCCATAGTTATCTTTCTCAAAAAGGGATGGCTGTTTCTCTTAAATGCATCAGAAATTGAGGAAAGGAGCTCACTAAGAGCCTGACTTCCACATTGCTTAAGGTCAGAAGAAACTGCAAGATCCGACATCTCTTGTGCCACTATCAAGCCGACGGCAGACTGGGTTTCATTTCTAGCGTCACCAGTTGGGATGCCATCTTCATGAACATTACATTGTCCCGCAGTTAAGATTCTCTTGTTGTTTTCTGTATTCCTTGCCACACCCTTTGGTGGATTCAATTTGTGATTTGAAAACGTTTCCTGTAACTTGCCCTTATTAATGGGAGTTAAAGATACACCTGGACCAGTGCCTGTTTCATCACCTGGCTTATTTTCCATCATTTTCTTGAGTATTTCTTGAAATATACCCTGGCAAGTTGCTACCTAGAAAAAACATTATGAAGCAGATAAATATCAAGCCAATGGAGGTAGAATCTCAAAGGAGTTCACAAGAAATCTCAAACGCAATTACCCTCATATCTGAAGGAAGAGGATTCCAACAGCAGTATAAATTATGCAGAAATGGTGAGAAGTAGTTTGGGAAAACAACTCCCACAAAATTTTGCAGGTAGCTTTCAGCAGAGAAGCGTGCGTCAGGTTCTAATTGAATCATATGAAGTATCATCTTTCGAACTCCAGGATCAGGAATCTGAACAACAAATAAAAAAAGATAAGCAGGTATAGGGACAGTACAATCAGTAACTCCCTAACCAACTCATAGCAGTACAACTCACAAACTTTTCTGTAAAGGTGGCACGGTGAAAAGAAAAAGTAAGATATCAGAGAAGTGATTGAACCTAAACGTTGTAAGCAGGAAAAAGAAAAGGGGACAAAGGAGATTGATACTCCGAAAAGAGAAATGGGGTAAGAAAAATGGGATAGGAGAAACCTTTTCAAGGTGTTGACTAGGATCATATTGCCCTCTGCGATAAGCAAGAAGCTGAGACAGTTCAAATAGCGGTTGACCCTCAAGAAAAAGCTCTGCTATCACACACCTGATGCATTAATATTAAATTGTTATATTATGATATAAGTGAGAAAATGTTTTCTATCTTTATAAGCACAAATGCGTTAGCCTAAGTGAGACATAGTTTTGATACACAGGTGAAAAGACTCAAATGGCCAAGGGTGATGTAAAACAGATGATAAAGAAGCTCACCCCACGGCAAATATATCCATTGAAGGCTTCAATGGAGCATCTTGTACTATTTGTGCCTCGCATCCATGCTCATAAAATCTCTGTAATCACGCAACAATCTGAGTGTCAAAAAAGGGCTTATCAAGATTTTGCGAGAAGTCTCAAACAATATCATACCTGAGCTGCAAAAGAATCATTTAACAGCTAAAGCAAAACCTACCTCGGGAGCCAAATAACAAAGTCTTCTTCCCCGAGTGTCAAAAAAGAAAGAGAAATCTGAAGGATCATCGTAAGGAATATATGTGGGTTTGAAGGAAGCGAAATCAGCAAGGTATAGCCAGTTCCAGGAAGTGACCAGCACATTTTCGCATTTTATATCCCCTGAAAAGGCAGCTAGCACAAATCAGAATTGCATGCCGTTACGATGATCATAATCACTCAGACTATTAGACTTACCATGGCATATATTCTTCTCATGGCATTGTTTCACAGCAAGAAGCAACTGCAGAACAACCAGAGTCAGAAAGCAGCACACTTGAAAAACTCTATGTTTATAAATAGGATAGAGTAGAAGGGAAGACCTGAAACGCCAACCATTTTTTCTCAACAAGGCTGAGGAAAGGCCGAGTGCTTAACCGATCATTCAGATTACTAAAGAAATACTGTCTCACTAGGTAAGCTGCTTTATCTGTCTCTTGCCAAAACTGCGACAAACAAGAAATCACTAATCACCAACAAAGGACTCCATTTAGGATACTAAACATGAAGGAACCAATCATTTAATTGAAATTAAAGATGCAGCAGCGCCACGAAGCAACGGAATCATATCTTTAAACAGAAATTTACAAAGATCAAATCCCGTTCTTCAGTTCCCTTTTCTTCCGAATCAAATCAATGCAAGAACAATCCTAAAAGTTCAACGAACTTCATTCTCATTGCGTCAGAAGTCGTAACTCTGACGTTTTTTCATCCGATTTCTTCGTTTATTCTCGGCAACCAAACAGAACACAACCAAAGAAATCGAAATCGAACCTGAAAAGGCCACACGTGCGGGTGTTCAAGGGAAGAGAACGTCTCCTTGATCCTTACGAGCCGGCGCTCGTACTCCCTGAGATCGATCGAATCACCGCGCTTGAAATAAACCTTAACGAGAACCAATCCTTCGTCGTGCTTACAAAGAATAGACTTGAAGAACCTCCCTCGCCCTAAAGCCTCTTTCAGAACAAGGTTGTACGATGAAGGAAGGTCGTGGAGGTAATACTCCGTCGCCGAGACCTGCGTTGTCCGCGCGATCTTGTTTCCCATCGACAATCAAATCAAAATCTCAGTCTTCCTTCGAATTCGTCGCGATTCAGATGGCTTCGAACGAAGAATCTGTGGCTTCTCCGGCGAGAGGAATCATCGCCTTCAGCGACGGCCGATGGCGGATGAGAGAGGAGAGATTAATTGCGTGTTGTGAGTGATAGTTTGATAACGTGTTCCTAAAGTACGATTGATACACGTGGCACTAAGCACTCGGCTGGGACCCGCATGGTAAGTGAGGGTAGAAGCGTAAATATACTCTTTCCCTGATTTTATATGACGAGCAATGAGAGATTTCTAGTTATATATCC